TCGCATACAAATCATTTAGAATCATATAACACATACCTTTATGCCCGGCTTCTTTCCTCAGTGTTTTTTTGTTTCTGTCTCATGTAAAATACTTGTTCATTCTCATGTTACTGGACACGCATCTCTCATTATTAAGTTAGAATATGCCCCACTACTTAGTCATTACTACCATTGATAGATAAGTATAGTTGATTTTCGGTCTCCCCTGCTGTCAGGTTGTTCTTGTTCTCTTGGTGTGTTGCTTTTGTACTTGATTTTAAACATGTTATTAAGAAGCAAAAAACAAACAGAGTTTAGAAGTGCCTGGTAAAGAGATGAACACTCCTCCTCCTTGTTGCCTGGGGAGGTACCACTATTAATGGTCTGAGATAGTGTTGTCCCAGTCCGTTCAGAGGCCACAGTCATTACATGTGGTTACTATTTCTCAAATTTAATTAATAAAAATTTCTCTTTCATGCAGTTGAAAAATTCATTTCATCGTCTCCAATAGTAGTCATTACGTCAAGTGCTCAGTAGCTCAAGTGTGGTACAGACCACCCAGACCATTTCATTATCAAGGCATGCCCTTAAATCTTTGTGTGGCCTCATATATTTATTTCACCCAAATTGTCTTATGTGATACCAGACCACAATTGATTTTTCTTATGTAATGTAATACAAGTGGTTCATGCAATTTTTCATGTGCGATGTTGGTGTTTAATATTCATACTTTTGTGATCAGTGATCAGAGCTGAGGGTGCCCTGGTGGTAAACAAAAAACAGACATGATTCCTGCGTGCTCAGCTTCTGTCATCTAGTGGGAAGAAAGATAATCAAAATATCCCTGCCAGTGAATGTGACTCCAGACTCTGGGGCACTGGAAGACCATGAGCCGAGACTGTAGAAGGGTAGATTACTGGGGAAGAAAGTGTTCTGGAAGAGGAAATGTTCCTGTGTGAAGGCATCATAGCAAGGAGGAGCAAAGGCAGCACAAGGACAAAGAAAAAGGTAGGAGAGAGTCTGTTACAGGGAGGCTATCCGGAGAGCAATGGAGGTCTTCCATGTCTGTACAGAGATTATTTCTGGGACGACAACACAGTGTAGTTGTGAAAGCAGAATTTCTTTTAATCCATGCCCCTGTTGATCTGGTTGATCTGTTTTTTTTAATGCTATTTATTGTTGAGAGAGAGACAGAACACTGGGTGAGAGGACAGAGAGAGGGAGACACAGAATCGAAACAGGCTCCAGGCTCTGGCAGGAGACATCAGCCTTATCTGAAGGGCGGGGTCGGCCTGCATAATCCCGGATCACAGAGATCGCGTGACCTGCTGGTCGGGACGCTAACCGACCGCGCCACCCACCAGGCTTCCCCCCCGATTCAAGCGCGCAAAGCAGCAGACTCCCCCGTTGCCCCCCTCTTGGTTCTCCTTCTGAGGTAGAATGAGCTAGGGGCCGCCATGTTAGGACAGCTGGGAGGCTGAAGGAGAAAGAGCCAAAGGTCAAGAGGGGCGCTTCTGGTGGCTTAGTCGGTGTGCAAGCCCAACTTCAGCTCAGGTCATGATCTCACGGTTTGTGAGTTCGAGCCCTGCATCGGGTTCTGTGCTAACAGCTCAGAGGCTGGAGCCTGCTTCAGATTCTGTGTCTCCCTCTCTCTCTGCCCCTCCCTTGCTCACGGTCTGTTTTCCTCTCTCTCAAAAATAAATAAACATTAAAAAATTATTAAAAAAAAAAAAAGGTTAGTGCACAAGACAGACATTGGCAGGATCAGTGTTTGCACTTACCACTACCACTTAGCTACTCATTCATCCTTTCGACAGACTCGCTGAGTGGTTGCAGGGCTGGGTCTGGGCTGCAGAGCTGAATCCACTGAGGCCCTCGCCCTCTGGTGGGTGGTCAGAGTCTCTTATTATAGCCCAGGGGCCTGGGGTGGGGGCTGCTTCTGGCCCCCCTTGGGCCCCTCCCCATTGTTACCTCTGGTCTCTTCTGCCTGTGCCTCTGGGTGCAGCCTCCTGACTTCAGGGACCTGCCAGAATGGGAGCCCAGGATACGAGAGCCCTTCCGCAGTGGTGACTTGGACTCCAAGCCCGACCCCAGCCGGAGCTTCAGGCCTTACCGAGCTGAAGACAATGATTCCTACGCCTCTGAGGTGGGCCTAGGCCTGATCAAGCAAGGGGGAGGGCAGGAGGAGAGTGGCCGGGGCCTCCCCAAAGCTGAGCAATCCATGGAGAAGCTTAGCTGGTGATGATGTGGGTTTTGAGTATTCCATTTGGTTCTAAGCTTCCAGGCAGCAAGTGCTAAAAGGGAGACAAGGAGGTTGGGGCCATCCTCTTGGCCCGACAAAAGAAAGCTTATAAACTCCTTTGAAGAAATTGATTTTATTTTCCTATACTAAATTTCACTGGGAATTTAGTAATTTATGTCATTTAGGGAAAGCACTCATTTCTTTAGCAGGAAGGCAGCAATCTTTACAGTCAGGCTGACTGGGTTCAAATCGTGGATCTGCTATATACTGGCTGTGAGATTGTAGATAAGTCACTTTACCTCTCCGAGCCTCAGTTTTCTTACCTTCAAAATAAAGGTGATCCCTCATAGGGCTGTTGAAAGGATTAAATACATGAAAAGCCTTAAATCTGGTCCCTATTCGGGGAAGAGGAGGAGGAGGAAGAAGATGATACATCTCAGGACCTCAGGGGACCCACCAGTATGGTGGCTTTGTGGCCTTGGGCATGTTCCCATTCTCTGCCTGTATCTTCCCCTTTGTAACATGCAAGGATTAGAGTGGGTGATGGCTGTAGAATTTCTAGGATTCCCTGGTCCTTGAGGAATTCCTGGTAGTTCTGAGCCCCTCTCAAGCCTACTGAGTCTCCCCCAGCGCTTCATAATGAACCTGAAGCAAGAAAAGTCTTCTGTGGATGGGATGGAGCCTCCTTGAGACTCCTGAGCCATGGAGAACCCTGTGTGTTCCCCAAACTAAGAACCCTTTTCTTGTGAACATTCTTGGGAAGGCAATGTTGTAGTCCCAGGAAGGCCAGTCTGCAACTGCCCAGGGGGAGAAGCTCCCTTGAAGCTGATGGATCAAACTCTCTAAGTGGTCTGAGCTTCCAAGCAGCCATGGCAAAAGGGGAAAAAACAAAATAAAACATGAGATACTCAGTTTTAATTTTCTCAGGAAAGGAGATAAGCCGACTCACCTGCATGCATTGGATTATTGTTTCATTCAACCACTTTTTACTGAGCAGTTACAATTTTCCAGGCACTGTGTTAGGCATTGAATTCAAGGAGAACACTAGAGATTGCAGGTAGTATCCAGCCCTGCAAGGATCTTCAATATCAAATAGACGTACAAGGTATACCTTGAATCAGAGTGCCTTCCATTGCCAAATTTCCATGTTATTGGCTGGATAATAAATGTTTTTTATTTTACAGAGGGACATCTTGCCATGCCTGGGAATGAGTGACAGATGACATTCCTTTTTTTTTTTTTTTTTT